AAGTCAAAGCGCAGTGATACACGGCAAATGCCAGAACGAATCATGCTATGGATATGTGACTCCGGCACCGACGCGCCACCAATTTACGTGCACTACAGATGCACACGAAACACAGAAGGCATAGAAGCGGCTCACCAGCGAAGTGACAGGCCAAACCGTGACTTTTAAAACGCGCTCGGGTGGGGGTCAAATTGACCTCCCCGGAGGTTTTTCCAGAACGATTTCCGAACGGCGCGGTGTAGCCGCGCCAAACTTTGCATAGCTGTAGATAATTAAGTAGCGGATCTTTTGATGTTAAAAATTAGATGAACATTATAACGTTCCTGGCTTATAACAGGTCAAAGTTAGGCCATTGCTGTCAGAAAGCATTTCCAGGGAATCGTTCAATGTGATGTAACAACGGGGCGTTAGATGAACCAATGCATGTCTAAGATGGTCTCTTAGGCAATGCACCTATTACATTTAGAATTAAAACCAATTCCATTGACCTAGGGTCAGGTATGAAGACCAGAACGAGGTCAAAACAATCTGCCTTTTTACTGGAGAGCTTGACTTTATGGGGTAGTTTCTAGTGCTAATTTTAAATTTATTCACTACAGGGACCGCAACAGACATCTCCTATGGGCTTTTAAAAAGTCAAAGTAGGTCACTAACCTAAAATGACCCAGGCCAATATATATATTTTAGGAACACAACACCTGGTGTAACCACAGACGCTCAGACAACACAGAAGCAAACTGGCAGGTATTTGGTCCCTCTGACCTTATATATCGACCTTATTTGACAAAACAGTAAAAGGTCACTATCTCACTGATCTTTTGCTTAGAACAGGTTTCTAGCACCACGGCGGTTGTATGAGGAGATCCGGGGGCACGAGACACCAGTCTGGAGTTGAACCGTGTTTGACGTTATTTGACCCCAAAATCATGACCTCGGAACCCCAAACTCTGACACAACAGAGTTCACGTACAGGCCAGTGCACCCTGTAAATTTGATGTATTTAGCTATGTTAGTTTTCAAGATCTCAGCGGGGTCAAATTGACCCCACCTGAGCAAAGGGCATTCAACCGGCCACTCGGACGCGTGTTAAGCGAAGAGATACGTCCGTGCCTTAGCACGGATTCCTGAAACGACAAGGTGCATGGAGCCGTTGTCAAGATCGTCAGCATAAGGTGTATATTTGCACAAGAAACTGGAATATAACGTATATTTTCAAAATCCATCGTTTAATGCGTTAAATCATCGTTAGATACCCGCTGGCATAATGTACTGATACACTGATGCACCAGATTCAACATCGTGACAGCATGCATATCAAAACACCATTTTCCTGGTTTGAATTCAGCAAGATTCACGAAGCAACAGCGAAAGAACAGCAAACGCACAACGAACTCACATGGACGCCGGCTACGTCAGCGAGAAACAATTTTCTCCGTCCTCCCCAGAAACGAGTCATCCACACTCGAGACCACGCGTGGGTCTGGCCCGTGTCAACCCTGAACAAACTGGATCTCCACGCGTCTTCTGTCGGCGCATGCGCCGTTCAGCGGCGCAACAATTTTCTGCTGCCCGGTGCCATCGTCTGAATCGCGTCATCACCAAGCCTGTGCACGTAGTGCAGGTGCCTGCGCAGGTCACTGACGCGACTGCTCGTTTTTCCACATAGCGCGCACGTGGTCAATCCGGTGTGCACCTTCTGGTGCATGTGCAGCGACACGTAACTTGAATATGTCTTCTCGCAGTTGTCACAGCTGAACAACGCTGCGGACACGGCAAATTACCAGTTAGGGGATGGGGATGTCGGGATATTAGGGATGAAAACTGGGCCTTTCCCGTCTTTTCCAGGGTATCCCTCCCTACCTCCGCCCTACCCCGCCCGTTGGTCATGTTTGTCAACGCCTATCCATGGCTAAGTCCAATGGCCAAAGCATGACTAAAACATTTTAGCATAAAATAAAACAATGTGAGCTTGGGTGGGTTCGGGTACCTAATCATGTGCCCCAGGCACTGAAAAAGTACCCCTGATTATTGATATTGAACCGTTGTATCTCATACATGATACACCTTACAGAGGAAATACTCGCGCAAGGCTCGGTACAAAGTTCAACAATCGGAAAATGGACCAATGTCTGTCCAGAGTTTCGCTATGGATGTCAGTTAACCTCTCATAGAAGCGCTCATAAAAGTACCGTCCGGCTGCTGAATTGCTTGAAGGCTTGATCACAGAAAACGTTTGATTGATTGCGCACGTGGATATCTTATTTACCTGCATCTGACGGAGCCCAAATGCCAAGTGAACCCGTTTTAGGTGGAGACGAGTCCGACACCACCAGTCGGGTGCGTGCGAGTCCCAGTCGACGTCAATATGTTCACCAAGACCAACAATACTGTCGTTGCCAAACAGAGGCATTGTTTGTGTTGTGGTGACAGCTCATCTGTGAAGTTCATTTACGTCTCGAATCTGCAGTGCCGTTGACTCAGTGAGCAAATCCGCGCTCGACTTGTAATTTTCAGGTGTATTTCGTCGCACGTCGCTAAGCCTCGCTTCAGCGCGTGGGAAGTGAGCCAGCGTATCAACATACCGCAATGAGCCCCGGTGTACAAGCTTAATCCTTTAAGAACTCCGAGAACCAGCGGCTCAAATGGCATTTCTTCACTGCCTTGAACAGGGGAAGTTTGTGCTTTCTGCAACTGGATGGCCTTTTCGGTATCAGAAGAATCTTTCAAACTTTTTGCGAATGTATCTTAATGTAGTACTCTTCGCTCTTGCTGTTGCTCTTGCAATAAAATGCCCTGCCCACATAACAGACGCTGCGGGAAACAGTCCATCAAGACATGCTTGGTCGACATGTTGGTATCATGCATGAACTCACATGACCGTGAAAAGAAGAGCAAACGCCACACCAGGTGTGCTGCAATGCTACTATATTATAAAAATGGCACAGGCGCTGGTGACAAAAATATCGAATGGACGAGGTACAACAGACGAACACAGTAACACGAACGTAGTTTCTAAACGAGACCGACGAAATCCATGGGATGAGTCTTTGACATTAAAAAAGCACCACTCCAGAAGGGAATCGCAATGCTCCTCGCATAACGCACTCCAATGAATCAGGAAAGGCACTGGGCCTATGCTGATTGGGTGGAGGATGGCGCTAGGCTGCACCGTCAGCCAAATTCACCAAAGGTTGCGTTTGAGCTGTAAATATGACCACATTCCAAGCAGCACAGCACGGAAAACGCGTACGCACCATCTATTACTCACGCAGTCGTCCTTCTTACGGTCGCATGTCCTGTCGCATCCACACAGACAGGTTTCTGTCTGAGTCTGTCCATATGCACAGTGTGCACGCAAGAGTCTTTAGCCCATTTCACCACTATGGGCACGGTCATGGGTATGCACGTCCGCGCAATATTTTCTTCTTCTCAAAGACGTTAAGCTCACATCGGTGGTGCGCACGCTTCCTCCGCGTAACCTTAAACACGCACACAAATCCCCAATCAAATCTCCAGCGCATGCGCACGCGCCGCTCCGCGCATGCGCCGTTCATCGCCGCACGATCTTCCTGTTGCGCGGCGCCATCTTGAGAATCGTCTCCTCGTCCAGCCGGTGCACAGTAGAGAGGTGCTTGCGCAGCACGCTCACCCGGCTGCAGGTCTTGCTGCACAGCGCGCAGGTGGTGAGGCCGAAGTGGACCTTGCGGTGCAGGTCCAGTGAGAGACGGCTCGAGTACGTCTTTCCACACAGCGGGCAGATGTGCTTCGCTGCAAATGCGAACAAGTGGCGGCGTTAGGGTTCAATACGCATCACGTTTTAAACAGACAGTAATGGACCAGGCATAAATGCAGCTAAGTGAATTTGTTTGCAGTCCTTTTGTCTTACAGGGTGTCAATCCAGACAACTTCCAGGACTTCAGAATCTGTGTAATTGCGCCGAGCTTAGTCCGCTTCCTGAGTTTTTGGCCCCCAACGCCGCACATTTTTATCATTTGGGTCAAAGTGACCTACCAGAACGACTGCAGACCACGAGAGCCAGGATGTCGGACGGTCGCCGCCCGGTCAGCATGTTAGAGCAGACACGTTGGGTCTCGAGACGTGACCGTTTATTCGGGGCGTCTCTCATGAGTCGCACGCTCCGAACACAGATTTTGACGCTGTCCTCAAAACTGCCTGACCACGGCGTTGGCGATCTTTTCTCGGCTGCTTTAGCCGCCGTCCCCGACTGGTCCTTAAGGAGAGGGGGGGGGGGGGGGGGGCGTATCGCCATTATGGCCTGTTGTCTCTGTGTGAAGGGTGTGTGGTGGTTTCGGCTGTATTGGGAGGGTCTGCAGCTCCAGAGTTGACATCAGATCTTGGGAGGGCAGTCGTTTCCGCCTTAAGCGCTCGATCACGTCAAGGAGTCAACAAGTATGTGAGAGAATGACTTTTTGAAAGAGAAGCATGGATGGTGAAGCGGAACGTACCGCGGCGGCGACAATTACCTATGAAGCGCGAACATCTTGTTCTTTTAAACATACCTTTCAAGTGAAAAGTGAAGCTCACCAATCCGAGCGTCCAGACACTAGACACTAAACACAAAATGCCGTTAACTCAAACGAAACCTGTGTTTGCAGCGCGAGTTTACCCAAAGTCCAGCAGCTGTCCAAGAAGTTTGTGCAAAAAAGCGAACAACACACCTTGATGTATTCTTACGCGCAAACTCTGTGTGATGTTAACAAACGACGCAACCATAGTGCAAGTGCCCATAACTGGACATGCATCACATTTATTACAACATTTCCTGATTTCCTCACGGGTGCCGCCTGTGATGCGTGTCTAACAGAGTACCCAACGAGTGCGTCCATGGTGCCCTGGAACCTGGCCCAAATGGACGCGCACGTAGGCTTCATGTCTCCACTTGGTCAACCCATCGAAACGCCGCAGCGATCATCGCAGGCACCTAGGGTCATACCGAACTCGTCCCACATTACGATTGTACTGCAGAAACAGCTAAGGGCATCACGTGAAGTCTGAAGACCCGCGCGCGTTCTGATCAAGAGCGTGTGTTTCCACAGGCACAACAGAGTACACCTGAGCACGTAACAGAGCACAGAGCACAGCGCAGAGTAGAACGCAGTCGTACCCCGGCCACGATGCCACGCACCACCTCCTTCCACCTCTGCGGCGTGGACCCTCATCGCACACATTGTCGGGCATCGCGTAGCAGTTTCGTCGGATCCTGGTTAAGACTGCTCCCCTGCGTACAGTCCTCGCTGCATTCGTTTCGGCACAATCTGATCGATGTCCTCCTGTGGTAGCTTGTGTACCATCTTAAGATGCTTCCTCAAGTCGGCCACCTTGCTGGAGACCTTGCCGCAGACAACGCATACCGTCAGGCCTTCGTGCACCTTCATGTGAAGGGACAGAGACTTCTCGTGACCGTACCACTTGCCACAGATCTTGCAACTCATGCCGCCTGTCAAAGGAGGGAGCATTAGCCACCAGCAGTGCGAAAGACGGTAGCAGATGGACAAAAACACATGGGCAGGGCTTGAAATCAAACACTGCCTCGGGGGTGCAGGTTGCGATGAGACCATGTCAGTAGCAAGTCGGGGTGATCAGTGTGGTCAATCCCAACATAGCGTTACCACGAACCGTGAGTGAAATGCCGTGCGGGATGGGAGGGCGGTGTGCAACGCACAGATGCGAGAAAATGCGTGCCTGGCAGACAAGTGGGCGGATCCTTCTCGTCGCCACGATCTTTGGTCACTTCCGCCACGATATCTGGCCTTTTCTGATCCCATGTTCAGCATCGCGAATTCAAACGGGGGTAGCTCAGTGTCTCACGCTTGCTACGGCTGTCAACATATTTCCGGGCGTGGGTTTCAAGATATCAATACGGCAAAATTCAAACCTATGCCATCGCGTGGATGCTTGAAAAGCGATGCCGGTTAAAGTCAAGAAAATGTCGAGCATAACATATGTCACTTTCTACAATGCAGGTATGCCCTGTGAAAAGCTGTTGAACATTTGTATTGTAGAAAAACCCTGCCAAACAAGCCTGAGCATGGTGGCGCAAGCGCGCTGGGCTGTGGTGCATCGTTTGGCGATAAGGACATACATCGGCGCTTGCTGTTGTAAATACGTAAACGTACATGCATACACAATACGTTGATGTGGTTTTTCGAGGACCCGCGCCAGGCCAGGCATTGCTCGCTCCACGTCGGCGTCCTCCGACACCAGCGGCGCTGTCGGCGCGCGAGTGCGCGAGAGTATGCACACTAATTTCAACCACACGAACACAACTGTCAATTTCCACATGAAGTGCATATTCACAATTTATTGACAACCACACAAAAAGGCGATGCCCCACTTCAGAGTACAGTCAGCATGTTCTAATCGTTCGGAACTATAACAAAAAGGATGGAAATTCGGTTTACCATGCGTCCACAGCTTCATAAAGCATTCCGCGACGGGATACCTACAAGGCTAGCCGTGCCTGTTGCTGGCTGAGGAAGTTCAACCAAAGGGGTGGGGGGGTGGAGGATCATGATGTGATGAGGGGTGCGATGGTGCAGCCCGTTCAACAAATGAGATGGAACATGGTCGAAAAGTTCGCGGCAGCACACTTTACAGTGATATAAACATGACTGACACACAAGACAGCTCACGACTCCGAGGCCTCGACTCCCTGCGAAACATTGCCAACCAACTCGATGCGGTTTCAAAGACAACTTCACACCGGTCAGTCATTCAAGAGCGCAGACCCAGTTCAGACCAAACGACGCGTCATTACGTTTCCATCACCATCCCACTTTGTTTCCGACACACAGGGCGCATCGCCCGTTCCACGAATCTTGCTGCTTGTCAACAAAGCTGGCTCCAGACCACACCGGAATCAGCTCGCAACTGATGTTCACTTAGTGCTGGCAGTCGCAAGTCGTGCTATTCCACAGCAGAACGAAAAAGCGTCTGGAATGGACGGCCCATCTTTGGAACGCGGCCACACGTTTCCAGGTCGCAACGCAAGCTGGCTCGTTGGCGCTTCCCTTATGCATCCAAACGCGTGGCATCGACACCGGCGGTCGGCACAGATGTTCGCACACCCAGGACTGACCCCTCGAAGTCGACCACTCGCCAGTCATCGAGCTTCACTCTCTCTTTTCTTCTCTCTCCCACACTCGCCCTGTCAGACAGCATACGAGACATCCCCTACTGTCACCAGGTGGAGCACCCCGTCCGGTGTCGAGGGAACGCCTCAAAAGGCGCCGGGCGAGCCCGCCAGTCACCAGCCGTCCGCCTCGCCCAGCGGCGGCGGCTGACCGCTGGCGGCCGGCGTCGGCCGCTCCTTGCTCTTGGTGGGCACGATGCGGCGCACCTGGTCGCCGGTCAGGTCGTGTGACAGCTCCAAGTGGCGGCGCAGGTCCGCCACGATGCTGCACACCTTGCCGCACAGCGGGCACGTGGTGAGGCCCAGGTGCTTCTTGCGGTGGTGGCGCAGTGAGTCGCGGGTACTTGTACACGTTGCCGCACACGTCGCACCGGTGCACCGCGCCTGCAACAGTGCGGCACGTTAGCAGAGTTGGCAGCAGCGGAACTCTAAGCGAACGATCCGGTTCGATTCACGGGGAAGCCACGGTCGCTGGAAGCTAAGACGACTGGGGCAGTCGCTGACAGTCCAAGCCACGGTAGCGCCGCGCCACGCGCCGCGCGCGTCCAACAAGAGGGTGACGGGAAGGCACGGAAAGTTCGGGAGCTGAGTCAGGCAGGATTGAGTCCAGCACAGCGTTGGGCGCTTTGCAATAGGCTCCAACAGGTCAGCGTAAGCTGCGACTATGACGTCGCACGCCCATGGAAACAGGCAAACTGCCTCTGTACCATCGCGCATTATGTGATGTTCTGACATGGCTCACAGGCGGACGCAACCACTACGCCAATTGAAATAAGCACCGGCGAAATATCGTGCCACATGGCTGTGCATGCGTTTCTGTCGTTCACAACCGAACCATTCAGGTATGAAAGCACGAGGCACCGCCAACGCGACCCTCTCGCGCCAGATCCGAATATAAAGACGACTTTGGTCCTTAGCCAGAAATGATCAACGTTTCTAGCGTATCAAAGAATTGTCACTCACCACGACGTTGCCAGCCTCGCCATACCTATACTACTCATGGAAGCTAACTGACGGCCATTTGTCTTGGAATGCTTCTCCGCCGTCCACGGAATTCGGATACAAAACAGTCACGAGTCATCCTATTTGTGACATCCAAGTCATCAATGCGGTGACGTTGAGAATTGGCTTTCAGGCTGGAACGAATATCAGTAGCTTTTTTGGCGGCGCTCTTTGGTTGCTTATGTCCAAACATAACAACCATGCCATACTAGTGTGAATTTCACGGGATTTCCTGGTTCATTCGCTTGCGTAAGTCCGTGCAATGGATTGCAACCAAAAATCGTGGAACATTTTATGCAAGACACGAGAGCAGTACTTAAGCCATTCAAATCTAGGCATCCGTTCAAATCCGTTCAAAACTAAGCAGAGAAAACAAGTATTCTCCTAGCTATTCGATCACGAATAAAGCCATCATCACTGTCCTTATGACTGCGTAATATCCTCGCACCTGCGCTGAACAAATCATGTTCAAATAACGATACGGCGAAGTGAGCATACTACAAAAAAAACCCTCTTGTGCGAACTGTAGAGCTACGACGTGGCATGTAATCCTTTTTTGCCCTCAGCGACACCCCAGTATGCCTGACTCATGGATCTGAAGAGAAAAGTTGCGCATTCTTACGCCAGTTACGCATTTTTGCACTTTAGGTTATACTGTGGGCGGTTATACACTTTAGGTAATACTGTGGGCGCAGCGCTAACCCGAGGTGACTGTTGCGCCCGCGCCGCCCCGGCCATGTCTTATCATGTCTTATGTCTTATCCAAGTCTTATCCGCGTGTGTCAGCGTCCAGTTACGGGACGGCGGGTTGTGACTTGCATATGGGGAGACCCGGATGGCAAAGGGAGCAGGAGTCCTGTGCGCCACTGATCTTATCAGTTCATTGGCGTGATACACGTAGAATGCAGTGCGCTTTCCGGCACGTCTCTTGTTAGCGCATCGACCGTGCCGATCCGCGAATGTAGACATAATGCTTGCTAGTTAAGGAACCCACACGTACTGATGAAAATTGCGGATTTGAGAGTGCGTCCAAATTTGTGCGAGACTTAATATCAGGGGTCAAGTTGAGAAGAGTTTCATGTAACAGCATACAAGCGTCATCAAAATACTACATCTAACAGCTTAATAACGTATTTGGACACGGCGAAGAAATCGCAGTCACCCGTGATGAGCTATGGAAAAGACTAAGTAAAGAAACCAGGCAAGGCTTGTAGACGCCGGGAGGTGAGCAGCCGCACACGTTGGAAAATTGCTAAGGGCTAAAAACATGTTGCCTTGCTTTAGAATGACTACAATGGCGTCTTGAAAAACCAACTATCACTGGTCCCTGCTGGCTTCTGCTGGCCTCGGCTGACTTTTTGAGACGGTGCTGTTAGTGGTAATTGGGGCCGCTGATTGTGAATTGTAAGGTGTTTGAGTTTGTTTTTGTCAACCATCACACTTCAATACCATTACATACAAAACTCCATTTCACTCAGACGTGCTGTCAAATTTGGCCGGTCTAGCCTGACCAATTCACCGAGAGGGCATTGGTGTGTACCGCTGGGACTTAGAATGTTTTGTATCGGCGACCGGTTGTTCTGCAACACCTATCACTAACTACATTACAAGCCTTTGGTAAGTTGTGTTTCCGTAGTCGTTCAGACCAGAACTGAATGATCGTCATAAAACGGCCACGGCCTTCGCGTGGGATTGCCTCCGTAGCGAAGGGTTCACACTTGCAGTACTTCAACTTGACTCGAGAGGCGTCCTCAACTTGACTTGAAACTCGAGAGGTGCCCTACTAATCGGTGCGTGCTTGCGGAGCCGGAACTGGATATCGTTATGAACACGCGTTTTGGCTCCTACACTTTATGTTCTTTCATATTTCTCCGTGACTTTATAACGTTTACTTGCATTTACATGTTCGGCTATGGCGCTTTTTAAAGTTATCCGATTTCCAGCTTCATTTCCATCCATCACGTATTTTTCCTAACTTCCTGAACCATGCAGCACAAGATGTGATTCGTGTCCGCTTGTGCTGAACGCAATATACTGGTTGAAAGCCAATGAAGTACATTAGTGCCTCACGTTGTGCTGACGTACGCTAAGCATGATTAACTCGATGATGATAATTGTCACCCCACGACCACATGACCTAGACATGACATGACCTAGACACCACATAACTAATGCAGTAAGCAGCATTCGTGTGACGTTTCTTCACCGCCATGCAAAGTTCCCGGACGTCAAACTAAAAAAAAAGGGTTTGGGTCTCCAAAAGGGCATGGCCGTGAACCGTACTGAACCAGCGTGTTTTGAGG